GCGGCAACCCTCGCGCTCCTACCCTGGAACCGATTGCAGAATTACAGAGCGGGGTTGACCGTAGTTGGGATGTAACCCTGCGGCATCGCATCTACTCGCGCTCCTACCGTGGGACCGATTGCAGAATTACAGAGCGGGGTTAACCATAGTTGGGATGTAACCCTGCGGCATCACATCTACTCGCGCTCCTACCGTGGGATCGATCGCGGAATTACAGAGCGGGGTTAACCGTAGTTGGGATGTAACCCTGCGGCATCACATCTACTCGCGCTCCTACCGTGGGATCGATCGCGGAATTACAGAGCGGGTCTAACCGTAGTTGGGATGTAACCCTGCGGCATCACATCTACTCGCGCTCCTACCGTGGGACCGATTGCAGAATTACAGAGCGGGGTTAACCGTAGTTGGGATGTAACCCTGCGGCATCACATCTACTCGCGCTCCTACCGTGGGACCGATTGCAGAATTACAGAGCGGGTTTAACCGTAGTTGGGATGTAACCCTGCGGCATCACATCTACTCGCGCTCCTCACGTTATCGTGGTACTGGTGGCAGAATTACAGAGCGGAGTTAACCCTGCTGTAGTTGCAATATAATCCTGATCGTATATGTCCGACGTAACACTCTTGTAAGCTTCTATTCTGGTTAACCCTATCGTTGCGTTACGCTTTCACGTAACACTGGTACAATGACAGCTATGGGTGACCATGCTGTAGTTACGATCCATTGTGATGCCTCCTTAAGCTGCTATTCTACTTAACTCTACTGAGCACTGCGTTACATTTCTGCATCACATTGGTGCAATTACAGGTTTGCGTAACGCTCTCATAGTTGTGACCCAACGTATCACTCTCGTTATCTGCTATTCACTGCATCGTCATAGCAAGTTAGCAACCGTGGAGGTCGCGTTGTTCGACGATCATCTCGTTACTCGTCACCTGCTCTTGTTACGCGCAAACTAAACTTATCAACGTTAAACGTTACCAAATGCTCTCTTGTTATTCGAGATCGTTGAATGTTAAACGCTGTGTCTTGTGTGACCCCTGCAGCAAGGGAAAGGTCATGAAGGAGCGAAGCAGCAGAAGGCCATCTACCTGAAGGACGGACGCATATTCAGCACGGGATTCTCGCGCATGAGTGAGCGACAGTACGCGATACGAACAGAGGTACGTACCCGCTACTCCCGGCGAGCAAAAAACCAGCGCGCGAGCAACCACGAAATGGGCGTACGCCACTCACGCAATTACTCTGTACCTTGTTGCAAAACTCGTAGTTACCTCGATGAATCGATGACGAAACACGAAACATTTCTTGTTTGTACTTAGTGCAAAGCTCAAAAGTTGCCCGAGAACTGTCAGTGAGACTAAGTGTTCAATCTTCAGTTAGTCATTAAGGTGCTTTGCAATAGCAGAGAGCATCTATATGCAGCAGGCCTAAATAAGCATGTCACAGATGTAGTTAAAAATACTTGGAGAGTTTCGGCACAACCACAATATTTACTTAATTCATACTAAATAAGGCTCATAGGGTCTATGTCCCCCAGGGTACTGCCGAAACGTACCCTGGGTACGGTCCGGTATACCGGA